TTGTTTGGGCAGTAGATAGATATAAACACTACCTCCTGGGGACAACATTTATCATTGCAACTGACCATAAAGCGCTTACAACAGCATTGGATGTCAACAAATCAAACAAGACCTACCAATCACGTTTAACCCGGTGGGTTGACCGGTTACTGCCATATCAGTTCAAAATAGTTCACATTCCGGGGAGGGACTTGGGCATAGTTGATTATTTATCGCGTGATCCCTTCAATGATCCCTGGCCCGAATCAGAATTAGACGAAAAGTTTGTAGTAGCGACAATAAACTCCTTTCATGAAGCGTTCGACTGCTGGAACAGTAGGCTTAAAGAAATTGGGTCGCTCAACCGGAACGAAAACGTTCTAGAATGTTCTAGAAGGAATGCTAAGAAACAGTCATCAAGTAATGGTTGCTATAGCAACCAAAACGGTCAAAACCGAACAAAGCTCGACCGGAACGAGAGAAAACAGTTTTCACGACTGCAAAAACAGCAAAACACAACAGTTCAACATAAGCAAATCACTTTTTCGTCAAATCAACCCAACAAACAGTCAGTCTTAAACAAATTCAAAATCATAAAACAACCAGTACCTGAAATTTAAAAAAAACAGACTCAAAGATCGAGATGTCAGGAAACGGAAACAGATCATACGACTGGTGGTCGAGCTCACCACAAGAATGGCGGAATGAGGAGCGCGAGGAGAGTCTAATGGACCCAAAGTGGAATCGCTCACTATCCAACACAAATGAACTTTCGGAAGAGGAGGAGATCACAGAGACAGTTCAGCGTACAAGAAAAATAATTCGAGGGAGCCGGAAAAACAGAGATAGCTCCGACAGTGAAACACGACATGCATCACGGGTGAAATGGCAGCTGGAACCGGATCAACAAAGAGAAGCGGATCAAAGACTACTCTCATTCTGGCAGCTAATAGGCGGAGAAGACAATGTTCAGGAAAAAAGAGAACTGGTGGCACACACCCAAGAAGTCAGTGACAGCTCGGAACACAAATCAAGTTCAGCAGTGACTAAACCGATCGCATCGGCGGAACGGAAACTCAGTGAGGTGCAAGTAATAGAGATGGACCTGACAACCACAGAAGAGGCGGAGAGTGAAGAGGAAGTGTGCTCAATAGAACCGCCAAAGGGACTGGGAAAAGCGAAACTGCAAAAGCAGCAAAAAGTAGAGACCTTGGACAATCTAGCAAAACTGTTCGACAAAAGTTTACTAGCAGAATTGACCACAGAAGACACGTGGATGGACCGCCTCGGACGAGTGATCGAAAGAGGGGACAAACAAGGATTTGAATTGATGGGACCTTATACAAATCCGTTAAGGTCACAGATGGCAGTTCAGGACGACTGCATCTTGGTGAATAACCGGCTAGCAGTTCCAGTACAACTAAGACAAGCTGTCCTGAAACGAATACATCGAGGGCATCCAGGCCAGGAGGCTATGTTGGGAGCAGCGCAATATCTGTGGTGGCCTCATATGAATAAGGACATCGTGAATTTGGCAGAGGAGTGCCGTAGCTGTACCAGATATGGTAAGAATGTAAAATACCTTATTTCAAAAAATTCGTCAAAACCACTGCCACTGCTCACGCAGCCGGGACAGGAGGTACAATTAGACTACGCGGGGCCTATAGAAAATCAAAAAGGAAAAAAAATCTACCTTTTAGTAGCTATAGATCGATTCTCAAAATTCCCATCAGTGAAGGTTACGAAATCCACAAGTGGAAAGTGCACAGTAAAATTCTTGAGATCATATATCGACACACATGGAGTCCCTGAATCAATTCGTTCGGATCAATTTTCAGGCTTTAAGGGGAAAACGCTAAAAAAATTCTGTTCGGAACTCAATATCGAGCAAAAATTTTGCCCGGTGGGGGACCACAGAGGTTGTGGTTTGGTCGAACGTACAATCCAAACTATAAAAAGAAGACTGGGAGTGATGATGCTCGAAGAAAATAATAAATCAATCAAATTATGTCTCAGCACTATAATGAGAGATTTACGGTGGAACAAGCAGAAAACAATTCAAGTATCCCCGTTTCAAGCACATTTCGGCAGACTACCAAAAACAGAATTTAAAATTGTGAGGAATAGGTTTTTAAATATTTCTGATTATTTAGACAAACAACACTTGGAACGCTCAGCACTGACGGCCTCCCAACTGAAACGGAGAATTGACCAGTCGAGAGAGAATCTCAAAATAGTGCGCAAGGGACAACTTAGCAGGGATGCAAGCCCACTGCACAAGCAGCAGTTAACATCGGACAGAGACAAAGAAAGGGCCAAAGCTCTAAAGGAATTGTTGGAGGCGAACGCCCGTTGGAACAACGAAAGAAGGGACGCGGCTAAAAACGATATCAGGAAATTAGTGGACGAGACAGGGCTACTCAATCCCGACCTTCGAAAGGAAATGATCTACTCTTGGGAGAAAGGATTTGTAGAGGACAAAGTAGAAAATCAATGTAAATCACCACCCAAGACAATACTCCGAAAGGACCCACTAAGGAAAAGCGGACAAGCCTTAACCAGACCACTAAAAGGGAAAATCGCTTCAGAAACGGACTCAACAATTCAGACATCGGCCGGTTCGATTTATAGGAAATCGGATATAGCACAATCGAAAACGGTACTGACACAAGAAAATCAGAGCACGAGTAAAAGTCCATCGTTGGAACCTACAAAAAAGTTTAAGAGAATCAGTTCTCCAGAATTACTCGAGGAGCTGGGATCAGAAGACGAACTTCAAGGAGAAATGGAAATCGCAGATGCAATGAATCCCACAGAGCGTTTTCAGAAAAGCCAAACAATAGTTACTTCTAAGGACACAGAAGCCGGGGGAGGTCTGAATCTGGCTGTCAAAAGAGCAAAACCCAATTTGGCGGGCCCAAAATCAACTATAGAGGAAAATAACACAAACAAGCCGGAGAAGAGCGGAAAGGAAAAGAAAGGCCGAAACAAGCAGCAACAGGGGACAAGCCAAACTGCGACTGCAGCCAACCTGGAACAGGAGCAATCGACATCTAAGCCGGAAAGAGTAGACACCAAAACTCAGTCCAGTTCTACGCCAAAGGCTAAACAGCGGCCGAAATTGAAATGCATTGACTCTCACACTCCTTTAGAAGACATAGTCGACACATTTCACAATCGCAATTTAGCACCGTCCGAATGGGAGAAGTACGCGGACCAATTGTTAAAAAGAGGAGTACAGCGAGTTGCAGACGAAGTTCGAGGAAATCCACAACAAAGTTCGGAAATGGACGCAAATTTCGAACCACCACAAGGATTTTCGGACGAATCAAGTACGGAAGAGTCAGGTATTAGACGAAGCTCCAGACAAACGAAAAACAAAGAACCTAAACGATTCGGAGATCCGATAAAGCACTCGATTAAAGAAATATCAGAAAATCTCACAGGGAGAGGTCTTTTAAGGGAGGCACTTAAAGAATACAGAAATCAACTGAGAGATTTCAAAGATCGTAACGACAAACCAATGGAATCAAAAGTGCGACGACTCGAAAGACATCTGTTCATGCGAAAATTCGGATACGCTACACTAGACGAGGGAGTCGATTGGAACCCGAGTTGGGAAATAGAGCTGGAAGAAAACTGAAAAGTCCATAATCTAAAATCGTCAATTAACCAAGAGACTTTCTTTGAACTGAGTATATTGAACTCTTTTTAAATAAATTATCCTTCTTATGTTGTATAATTTATTTCTTCCACCGAGGGGGGTGTGTCATACCGCTACTGCAGTAGCAGTATTTATATACGTATGTACAGCTAACCTTTGGTGCTTAATCATTACTGTATGGTATGCTCAAGGTCATACGTGAGTGATGACACTGAGATTAAGCGAGAGATCAGAGTTCGTAACATTGATCTAACTCTCAGTACAACAACAAAACAAAAGAATAAGAAAACCTAAATTCAATAGTAAAAATAAAGTATTGAATTACAACTTGTTTTCAACTGATATCGCAACGCATATCACAACACTTTAAAATTGCTGCGAATAGTGGCTTGCGACTAATCGTCGCTTGCGACGAATTGTCGCCTCATGGGTAAGAATATCATATAGTATATTTTTGTGATAAACCGACCTCATTCACTGCGCTAGTTTGATAGTTTCCCAGTAAAAACACAAAAATTTTCGGCAGAACTTAAGCAACTCTTCAATAAAACAAAACTAATAAAAAGTTTTGCAAAAGAAGTTCAAAAATCATAACCAACAAAAAAATAAAATGCGCAAAACTTATGTTAAAAATTTTTTTTCCAACCACTACCAATTAAGTTATAAATTCAAGATGAAAAACCAATTCTCATGTTTGCAAATTCGAAGACATCTCTGCGAAAAAATTATAAGTACAGACTACAATATAATCTGATATCTTAAAAACCATTGTACCCGATCAATGAAATCATAAAATTTTGAGCCAATTACTTCTACGAATATTTGCTATCTCACTCGCCTTAGGATACTTTACAGGAGACATTGTTGGCTCTATAACTGATCAACGATATATCATAAAAGTTTTTCATTAAATCAGTATATCATAAATCTCTGGACATACCATAATCTGCTGTTTTGCATACACCTGCGCACTTTATTAGAATAACAGGTATATTCTCACGAATAATGCCAGTATTAAAACTAATTCTTAAGCTAAAGCACGAATGGTGCTACTCGTTGGAACTTCGCTCTTATTCAGCTTATCGCTTTTTATATTTTCTGATTATGAAAATGTTGAGTAATTGATAACTTCACTTTCTAGTGGTTCCCGAAACTATTCGACCAAAATTAGATAGCTTAAAAACAGGCGGTGTATGAAGACTGAAACTACTCTAAGAATGAGCCCCTATGACTTCTCGCATCACATAAGATTCACTTAACGCGTTATTTGATATTGAAACACGTAATTTGACTGTTTAAAACGTAATTTGAAGGTAATTTGAACAGGTTGTTTGAAGTAACTTTTTCCGAGTTTTAGACGGCGACGAACATCGATCAGTTAGTGTCTAATTTGGATATGTCTCAAATCAGAGACTTGGTGAGAGAGAGGATGAGACAGTCGGAGGATGCGGCAAGTAATGTCAGATATGCAGCCGAACTTCTCAACACCCCATCTAGTGCTCAGACATACCTAAGAGGTTGGTCAGTGCTGGTAAAGAGGTTGGTTGCCAGCGTAATTCTCATCAGTAACTCCATCTAGAGCTTGTTGTACATGAATAAAAATAACGCTTTCGGTAAATACTCCACAAAACGAACCTGAATTTGAATTGAACAGCTAAGTGCTGCGAACATTATACTCACAACTCTCTAGTCAAAGATATCTTCGTAAACAATCACAAGAAAAGGAAATCAGATATTAGAAAACTTTCAAGAAAATTGAAAATCATTTTTCTTGAAAGTTCTCAATTATCAGATTCTTTTTTTTATATTATTTTTCATATTTCTGATAACGAAGACCAAACTTGTTTAAAACTTGCTAAATTCGGGCCTAAAAAGTTACCCGAAAAAAGATCATTCTTGGCTGTGTTTAGTCAATCAAAGTTTACTCCAAACCTATTTGTTCATTTATTATATCAAAATTTATCACTGCAAGCCTCTTATGTAACACAACAAAACTTAAGAAAGGTACAATTTTCTCAGCTTTGTATAAACAAATTTATTTTCGTTTGATAGCCAAAAACTGCTTCTTAATTTTGGTTGGGCTAAATAAGAGGCTTGCAGTGATATTGTTTTTGTCGGTAAATTAACAAATAGGTTTAGAGTAAGCTCTTTTTGACTAAACAAAACAAGAATGATCGTTCTTGGGGTTAATTTTTGAGCCCGAATTCTGCAAAACAAATTGCACCACAATAGTTCTGCTAAAATTTTAGGCGAGACTGGTCTTATCATTTTTTTTCTAAATACAACCCAATTTGAGAAACAACGAAATTTAAATTGCAAGTTTCAATCATGTGGTCTGGATAATGTTTTACAATAAAATACAAACGCAACACAAGCTAGGAGAGAAAATTTGAAAAAATGAGAAGCTGCGTTTAAGCCGTCAATATTTTGGCAGAGGCCTGTTGAGCCAAAAAACTGTTTGCGTAGAAAACTCTTAGCCAGTTTTTGGAACCCGGAGTTTTCAAGTGGCCTTGAAACCCATATAACAATCACGAATTTTTCATTTTTGTGCGTCAAGTGAGCGACACAACAGATAGCTAAGCCTATGTAACCAAAGGAGAATTTTTTATGTAAAAAAGCGGAAAAAATGGAATAAGATAAAATTGGATTAGTAAATGTGTAATGAACACTAGCTCGTGGCCCGCACCTACGGCGGTTCCAACAGATGGCTGAACATAAAAAGTGCCATCTTTAAAACAGCTAACTGACAATTGGAAAAGAGTAATGAACGCAAGTAATTCGAAAAAAAAAATAGATGCCCTTTATACTCTTTGAAATTCTAGAACAAAGCAGGACTAGCGCTTTTTTGCTAACCTTAGCTTAACCTGAGAAAACTGGATCAATAGGTAAAGTTTTTATTCCACTGGAAATATAAAAATTAATTTCCACTTTCGATAGTAACATTTTCTAACTCAGAATTAGGACTATTTCAAAATAAGCACAACCTTTAGCTTGTTTTTTTTTTGTGTTTTGTAGATCTATGTAATTTGAACACAAGAAAAATTTTCAAAAGCATGCAACTGTATTCTTGATATTTAAGAAAAGATCTAATATTAAGTAACTTTTTCTACAATCATTAACTTCTGTAATGAAACTCTTCAGATAACTCAAAATTTGAAAAAATTGAGCAGTCACATTTGAACAAACAGATTTGCAACCTCTTAAAAAAATTGACAGCAACACGTCTTCGGTCTGAAAATTTCAAAGTTTGATAGTTTTTATTCAAGAGTAAAGTAAGTTCTTTAGAAGTTTTCTCATAAAACCAATCAAATGTCATATCTCGAAAACTAAAATAATCGGAGCAGTCGATTCTAGGGGCAAAATTTTCAATCCCTGGGAGTATGCTGACATCATGCCACCACATTGACTCGAACTTAAAACTATGATTTTATTTTTTTAAATTTGGAATTAAAAAAACTAAAAATCTTACACGCATTTTATCTCGGAAATATTGAGCAGTAAAATTTGGTGGCCACATTCTCAAGCCCTGAGAGTACCCTGATTTGGTCCTATCAAACAATCGAGAATTTCAGTAAATGAGAATTGGAAAAAAAGTTTGAAAACATGGAAATTGTCTGTCTCGGAAATAAAAAAAAACTTGATAAATTATTTTGAAACAAAAAGAATTGCATTCCCTAGAAGGACCATTCCCAAAAAGTGAGAACTAAAAAAAAAGAACTTTTAAAACATGGAAATTGTCGAGTCTCGGAAACTTAAAAAAACATCTGATGAGTAATTTTGGGATAAAAGGATGAATTGCGTTCCCTAGTAGCTGCTTGACGGCACCCCCATTATAGGGCTGAGAGTTTCAAAATATGTGATTTTTTTATATCATTTCTTCGATTTTTTTAAATGTTATAGTTGGGAAACTCCAACGCTTTGAGCAGCCTTATTTGTAAGCCACATCCGCAATCTCAGAAATGTCCTGATATCATTCCAACACAGGGTATACAATTTCAAATTACACGAAAATTTTTTAGGTTTCTTCAGTTTTTTCAATTTGTACGGAAAATCACAAATTTGTCATCTCGTTAACGTAAAAAATTGGTAAACATGAAAATCGCAGACAAAAAAGTTAACAAAAACTAGGCAGTCATTTTTAAAAACATGACCTAACTGAAACTTTCCTTTTGAATTTCCTCATGCTAATTTCAAACAATGAACCCATTTTATAAAAAAACGCTGAAATACCCAAATTTGCGAAAAATCGTAGCAAAGAAAAAAGCGTATTTTACATTAAGTTCAAGAGCAATTTTCCTAGAGATGCGAACCTGAGCTTTGCATAAAGTCCAATTTCAAATTGAGTGAAAGTGATTCGAGATATATGACATTTTCCGAAAACATTTTTTATTAAAACCAATTTTTAATTGTAAGGCAAAAAACTTGAACTAAAACTTTTAAAGCTCAAACAATATATAAATGTTAGCTTTCCCAAAGTTTCAGCTTAAGTAAAATCGCCAAAAAGCATTAACACATGGAAAACGTGTTGTAACCAAGCCGATAATCAGCAAACATGAAACTGACCATAAGCCAAGTTGATAATTAACAAACTTGAAATTTAGCATAAATTGCCGCTTCGGAAAAATTATTCGACGTCAAGGTCCAGCTAAAAATAAAAAACTGAAAAAATTCACTGTTGAAAAACATATGGCCCAAAAAATACTATGTGCAGAACTTTGGAAACGGCGTCTCAGATAGCTTTGATAAAGCATTTTGATAATACACACTTAGGAAGCAAGACCGGAGAAACTAAAGCACTTTTCTTGAAGCTCGGGTTGAAGTCCCACCGCTATTAATCGCTTTTTCTGTAGTATCCCAGTGATCGCTAATTTCCAGCGCTAATTCATGTATAATTCAGATTTTATTGCATAGCTAAACCTGCGATGTTTCAGAGCTATTTCAGTGATGATTCCGTAAAAAATCATCGCTAAATCTTAAGAAGTTTGAACTTAATCTTGTAGCTTTCAAATGAGAGTTTCAACTGATGTACCCTTTAACTTCAGTTTATCTAAGGATGGACGGCGCAGAGGTAGCACATATGTCTGCAAATCAGATGGTTGCTGGATCGGAAACCTGTTAGATCAATAACTTCGCTCAATTTGAAAGGTTTTTTTTATCGCAGTTTCATCGCTGAAAATTAGCCAAATTAGCGATACTTTATCGATGAATTTTGCTATTGTGGCAATGAACATCGATAAATCATCGATGGCGATCGCTGTTTTTTTTCAATTTTTCATCGCTAATTTTCAATGTGAGCTCAACCCGGGAGTTAAAAAAAATTCTGACCAAAATCATTGAAATACTAAGCAACTGACTTTGCTAAATTGTCAAAAAACCACCCTTAAATAGTTCCTTCCTTTATGTCATTTCATGACGTGATCGGAACAAAAGTTTGTTTCTTAAGGTTCTAACAGGTTAAAGCAGAAAACTCATTGGAGCCATTAACAAGTACTGTTATGAAAAGGAAGATACTGTTAAGCTTGAAATCTGCATGACCAAATGTGGGCAATAATTTTTTGTTAGATGTTACGTTGTCCCACAAATTCACTTCTCATATCAAAACAATACTTGAAAATTCAGCAAAATCAGGTAGCTGCGTGGAGATTTGAAGCTACAAACCAGAATGCCGAAGATATCTGCTTTAAGTCTAGCGATCGGAATATCACTCGCTTAAACCTTTCGTGTATAAATTTTTTTCGGGAACATGGATAATTTTCGCTTTACGGTAAACTAATTCCTTGTATTCTTTGAGGCTAGCCGAAAAAAGGTTTAAGGCTTAGAGGGCAGGTTTTTCTTTTTGCAAAGGAAATTATATCCAGTCTATCGAAAGATTTTCGACAATTTACTGCTCATTGTACAAATCAAAAAACAAAATTTACGCCCCCTTTGTTGGATACAAAATTTAGCAGATTGACGAAGGTAACGAAACTACAAAGGAGGTTTTCAACTGAAGAGAAAAAATTTCTTTTGCGTACGAGAACGTCAAACATTTTGAAACTTCTTTTCAGGTGATTTGAAAAATGATTTCTCTTGTTATCTCGCTCAATCAAATATTATACAACACGTCGGTTTCATGAGCCCTAACCTACTGCACTCGAATCAAATAAATTCTCTTCAGGCATTTGTGTCGTCTACTAAAATCGGCCTCAAGACAAACCGATGACAAAAATTAATCGAAAAAAGTGCTAAGAGCGCGATAAAAGTTGAGCAAACGTCAGGATAAGCAACCGAGATCTGGTCGTTCCAAGACTGTTCTTATCCATCAGGCCACCAGCTCCTCAAGTTTTATATTACTGGCTAACATCAAACCAATCACAGAACTGTGATATATCTACCACAGAATTGCATACTACGGAATGATGTTGTAAAAATATAAACGGATGAAATGTATAAAAACCATTTTGAGTGAAATTGAGTTCTAATGAATTAATTAAATTGAGTCGAGGAAAAAGTCAGAAGTTTTGAAGAAACGCTAGCAGAAACAAGAGATAATAACTAATATAGAAATTGAAAAAAAACAAGGTCAAATTTTTCTAAAACAACGAACAAATTTTTAGTTCTGTAAAGAAAAGGTTGACACAAAGCCAGCAGCGCCATTAAGATCACGACTGTAAAATAGAGCAGCATAAGGTGCCTACAATGAGATATAAAAATGAAGTTATCAAGAAATCAGAGAAACCTCGGTGACAAGAAAAAAGTTTAAAAATGTGGCTTTTTAGTCTTATTTAGAGCGATCAAAAACTACAAAAAAACGATATCTCTCATTTTGTAACTCATTTTGAACCAATAAATGTAGTCAATTGAGGCCATAACTCCATTACTCATGTTCCAAACTCATTTCCTATCTTCACGCGCACAAAAACGACAGAAAAGGGGAAAAATCCCTTTTTCAAGCTTTTTTCAAAAAAACGGGTTGCAATTGAAGCGAGGGCAAAAAACAGTTTTCATTAACTATCAGAATGTATACAGTTTCGATCACAACATTCGAATAAGTTTACATTGAGTAATTGACGAAAACTAAGAACGAATTTGATGAAAGCAAAGAACGAAAACTAAGCCAACTGAATAAAAAACGAAAAAAAAAACATTGGAAAAATATATTTGAGAACAGCGTCAATAAAACCATTTCAATTATCTATCCATTTACTTCCAGTTTTTAGAACTTATAATACATATCATGGCAAGCTAACAGACATTCGCTAGCATTCAACTAGTGTTGAAATAAACTTAACGAAGCAGTAACTAAGCCGAAAATACTTGGGCAGACACCAGTGAGCCGGAAAAATTGTGGGCATAAAATTGAGAATCTAAGTTTCTAATTCCCCCTGAATCAGATATACAAACATAGAAAAAATAAAGAAAGAATTAACTAATTTCTCTTATCCGATCTAAGCACATTTCATAAAAATGCAACACATTTACAAGTAAACATTGCACCAGGGGGAAAACCAAAAGAACCAGTCATCCTTCAAACGACGCATTATGAGGCGACTAAGTTGATATAACTTCGGCCCAAGCTGAAAATATTCAAGTTGAACTAACGAAAACAAACATTTTGCGGATACGGAGTTGGTACATTTAGAAACTGGATTTATCTCTGTTTGATAAAATCTCCAACAAGAGTCAATAAAAAGATTCAGTGATTCTGGTAGAAAAATCGTTTACCGGCAAAAATTCTGTTTCGATTTCATAACGCAAGCTTACAAAACCAGATGAAACGATGTTGTCAGAATGTTCTAAGCTGCGCTAAGAATAGCGGAATGCTCTAGCGTAGTAAGATAAATGGTTGCCCTAAATTGCCATTAGAAGTTCATACCGTTTGTCGCACTTATTTTTGTACCATTTTTAAGCAAACATTTTCGCAAGACTATATTTCTTATTTTACAAATGAAGCTTTAACAAACTTAATATTGCATTTACAGTTTAAATGTACAATTCTAGTATCGAATCAATCAGAAGTCAAAGAAACCTCGGTTTCAACAGATGATAGCAACTGAAGTTTTTGACTTCTACGAAATCAACATAATCAAGGTCAACGTTACAATCATATTGCAGCAAAGATTTTTAAACTTACAGAAATCAGAAACGACCCAATGAACGAATAGAACGAGATTAATCAGAATAATTTGGATTAAACTATTTATTAATTGGTAAATACTATGCAGAATAGCAGCTCAATCGCACTTAGCAAGTGAAACCTAATAAACCGCCTCTTGTCATACTCTTTGGCAAACATGCATGCTCAGGACTAAAAACTTTTTGAATTAGCAACAGTCTGAAAATTCATTTTAATGCCAAAACTTTGGAAAAAAATAAGACTAAATGCAGTCTTTTTTGAGATACAGTAGATATGACATATCTAAGTTCAATGATATTTCTGATTGACACAAACGATTTCTGATAAGCTATTACGAAACTACCTCAACAATAAGTTTCGAGAAAAAATTAAAACTTGTTTTTCAACCTTCGTTTCAAGTTGTTTTTCAATCAAATTGACGCCTAGAATTAATCATCGTGTTTACTATTAGTAATAACTCCCGAGGATATGACTTTATAACATGTAGAGTTTTTACATATAATTAACAGCGTGCCTGTTTTAAACAGAGTTTCAGTTTGTATCTTGCAAGTTTTTGATGATATTTTCATTGAGTACTGTTGACAAGTAAGCATATGCAAGTACTGACTGGAGTCCCTTGCAGTCGAATCTGTCAGTGAATCCCCCGTGAGAACCTAAAGCAGTTCCGAAGTCCTTTCTGTTCAGAGATCGTTTGATTCCACTTGCCAGGAGTCCCCCAAAAGGCGCCACCAATGATGCAAATAAGGCTAACACTATCACATGCAGGTATATACATCCTAGTCCCGATGGAACCGCATCACGGATGAACGTCGGACATGAATCCTCAAAGCCGTTCGATGGAACCGAACTAAACTCGGCGTATGCTGAAGAAACATGACAATGTGACTCGCTTGAAGTAAGACAAGAAGTTGAGGCAAGTTGTTCTTTCGATTGGAGAAATTTAGGTCCCTGGAAAAACAGGGGAAGTTCTAACCACTGCGGGGCATAGTTTGTGATCATGTAAGTAGCAGACAAAGCGAAGATGATTGTAACAAAGAAAGCACCAATAAAGCCCTCGACCGTTTTCTTCGGAGACAAAAAAGTCAAAAGGCGTTTGCCACGAGTTTTGCCGATCACATAAGCGGCTATATCATTGATGATCACGCCGCTCAACGATATGAAGCCCCAGAAAACACCAAAGTCCATGTTAACATCGGCGCCTCTAAAGCATGGAAACATGGCGAGAAAAATTGCCATATGATGACTTGCCGCAGCAACAATTTCTCCTACTAAAATATCCCTGCTAAAATGTCTCGAGCAGAAGATAATCAAATGTACGACGTAGACACTGTACAAAATCGATGTACAAAGATTATAATTTCTAACTATGAATTGAAGAATAAAAATGATGTCTGGTTCAAATTTTAACTGTATTTGAGGAAGCCCAATTTTTGTCGAGTTTCGGAAGACTTCTATTGGGAAGTCACTATAACTCGCAAGAGCTCTGCAGTAATACCAAAACACAGCAAGCAACACTAGGAACATTAACTGAACTTTTAGTGTCTTCGCCACTCTTGAAACATCTTTATCTTCGAACGATTCGAGTTCCGCTGAAATATCCGGTGATTTCAGTTCCGAAGGAGTTTTTTCGCGAGCTCTCCCATTAGTATATGCTTTACTTCGATAATGTTGCGACTTGCGAAGAAACTTTGAAACTTCGTCTGAAACGAACTGCCCAATTTCTCCCATCATACATAAAATCATGAAAATGAGGTAAAGGCAGATATACAAGGCGCCAGCAAAATGAGCAGCGAAGAAGGAAAGAGCCAAAAGAGCACCATAGAAAATTCTCGACTTGTAACCATCCTTTTCTTTGTCACTTGAATCCGTCATTTCAGTCGGAAGAAATCAGAATTGATTCTACATCAAAATCCTGAAAATAAATTTACAAACAGTCATGCTCCAATGCTTTAATGCTAATACAAACAATCATGCTCTAATGGACACGGCAGAAAGTTGGACAAACTGTATTTGGAGTTGAGTCTGATCACTGAAATTGTTCTTGATCTATTGTTTTGCACACTTCATAAAAAACAATCATCTTGAAGGCCGAAAATGGATGTCATAAAATACTACCAAATTGGGGACCCTTTAGTTGGTGAGTTGATCGAATCCCTCAAAGGGGGGAAGGGGGCGTCCGCTCTCTTAATCCGCTCCTGGTCTTCCGATTGTTTCCCTGTGATTTTGAAACCTTTTGAACAATCTTCTATTTGGAGTCAAAAACAAGTTTTTGATTAAATTTCTAAGGATTGTGGAGGCATGAAAACAAAACAAGATAAATATAACGTTTTTCCTTGTTAACAGTCAGGTCTAAATGAGAAACATGATGAGTTCTGAAAATGAAGATTAGAACTTGAAACTCTCTGAAGTACATGAAATTCCATCCCACACATATAGGTCTGCGAATGGTACATATTGACTAGTCAAAAGTTTGATCACTTCTTGAGATGCAACACCTCCCAAGTACGAACCCGTAACATGCAGAGAAGCACCTCCAAATCGAACCATTTCCGTAACTAAATCATTTGGCATTGAAAAATGACTGGGAGAGCTGGATCCGTTTAGCCTGCTGACCACATTTGATATGCATTGTTTGAGTTGTAGAACATCGGATTCACAGTTTTTGCTGTCACAATCCCCCGGGTACCTTTGATTTAGCGAGTAAAACTCATCTGAGGCAAGGAAAAGTAAGTAAATGTTGAACAAATTTGTCGGATCATTTTCACCGGCCATTGGCAAAAATTTGAGCAATCTATTCGCGACATTGCACTGGACATCGGCGTTTTCGAACTCGACCTTAAGCGAACTGGTATTTATCATCTCTAAACCGGGCGCATTCTTGCAATACCTTCGAATTTCTGCGAAGCTTATTGAGTCCTGACTCCGTCCAATACTGCGCAGAATTTCACCGACGTGTTTGGCAACATGTGTCGATGCTGTTTTAGCCGCCTCTTGATACAGAGACTGCAGTTTGATGTATCTTTCTGAATCAGAAGTCATGTCTGGAATAGTTCCACTCAATGGTAGACAACCTTTACCCTCTTCTGATACAACATACTGCTTGATAGCTCGCACTATGATCCAGAAGTCTGGACTTTCGGCTGAAATGTTGAGACAAGCTTCATGTTCGAATAAATTTTGTACATTTTGAGGAACTGTAGTTCTTATGAATGCAGTATTCACAGCTTTTGATGCCTCGTTGAAATTTTCTTCATCCTCCGGGCCTTCAGAATCTGCATCTTTGGTTTTCACTCCTGCAGCCAGCAGTTCCTGGAACCGCTTTTTATCTTTATACTTCAATGGCATTTCAGTGCAACCTTCGTTAATATACCACTGGTCCAGGAACTTAATCAAAAGAATCAAATATGGCGTATGTGAATGTTTTTCACGCCTCATCGTATCAAGATCTTGCGAATCAGCAAACTCTCTTAAGCCTGGAATGTGATCAAGTTTATCCAATCTCAAATCGTGGATAACTGCCTCTGGGTGTGCCTCGATGACGTAATGCGACTTGAAAACCATTCTTATACACGCCCAAAAACCACAGACTCGAGGAATAATCAAAGGTATGTTGCGATGCCATAAAGACTCAGCTAGTCGCTTCAAAGCAGACTCACTTAATGGCAAACACGCTAAAACGATTGAATAATCTATGAAAAAATCGGAAGTTTTCTCCAGAATGCAATCCAAGGATTCCTCAATGGCGATTCCTCGAACGTCCGGGTTCAGTTCCTGGAGGTTCTCGCACACTACAGAGGCTCTCGGTTTTCCGACATCATCTCGTGTAACGAAAAAGTTGTTACCGAGGTCTCTCGCTGTGACGAGGTTGCTGTCTATTACGGTAAAAGATCCGATTCCGGGCAAAATGAGGTTCTTCAGGGTTTCAGTTCCTACTGTAGTGGCGTTGATTAGACACACCTGCGCCTTTTCCAGGCACTTTTGCCCTTGATCTCCCCACAGTCGCAGCTGTCTGTCGTACTTGGCAGCATTCACAACTGGAGTAACTGTTTCGTCGCTCGTGATATCAGTCATAACGAAACCTGAAAACAATCAGAAGCATCAGTTTTAATCTTAGTTTTTCATGAAAATTCCTTTGAAAAAGTTTCATTGAAAAAATATAACATTCAGATAAAAACCGCCGATCGCAAAAAGTAACTTTTACACAGAGGCGAAGCGGAGCTTCTTAACACTTCCGATGCAAAAAATCTGAAAAACGAAGTTGAAAAAATTCCTTGAAAATTTAAAAAAGATACAGCTACAAAAATTTTATGGATGCATAAAAAGAAGTTCATAAACAGCCTGAAAAAGAATTGAAAATTAACTACCGAGCGGCAACAAATTCCGGGCCAAAACCTGTTTGAGACGAAAACAAAACTGTCATAAAAATTTTCATGAAGTTTTCAAACTTTTAAGGACCCAACCAATCTGAAACACATACTCGCATGCGAATATATTTTACCTCGAAATTATGCAATACAAGTTGACTGAGTCGATACAAATAAACTGAAGCTGTTTGAATATTTAAAAAAGAAACGAAAAAAAAACCCATAATCAGACATGGTAAATTTACAAATTACTGAACTTTCAGTTACAGTGAAAAAAACTGTTTAAATTGGATCAAAACAAATGCTCAGAAAGTAAGCCAAAAAATCCTATCAGATAAAAAAAATGGCGTTTAAAAAAACGGAAAACGAGCCGACAGAAACTGAGGTGAAAACCACGAACACGAAAAAAAATTGAGAATTTTTTAGAAAAAATAATTACAACATGAAACGGGCTTTATTTAATTACTACTCGAATTATAGTAGTTTTTTTGAACTATCAAGAAATTGAACATGTCAGATGATTAAGGAGTCCAAGAGATAAAATGATGAGTCCTGTGCCTAAAGTTATTTACGGGGAAAAGTCTAGTACCCGATTGCAATAATCTTGCTTGTCGCTAGGGTAAAACAGGAAAGAAAAAACATCCAAGAAGCAGTAATGTAAACGACAATAAACTCCAAAACCGGAACAGCAAAATTTGACTTTTTTCAGCAAATTTTCGAATTTGTTCGGGAAAAAATATTTATTTTTGTATTTTACTGTTCTATTCCCACCATTTTGAAAGCGCCATTTGACCTTCTACTCTGCATTACTTAATTGTTGTCGGGCCTTTCACCCCCCCCCCCCCGCAACATAAATCGACTTCTTCATAGACCCCACCCACTTGAATATTAGCACTTACAAATTATAGGTGGGGGTGAAAGGACAGCTTTGCGATACAACACAAACGTTAAAAAAACATAAGTCAAAAAAAATTTTTGGTGAACCAAAGTTTTCGATTGTCTACATGAAAAACAACTGGGGACAGCTAAAACTGGAGGTACGTGTTTCATATTGAAGGACTTTGCTATACTGGTGCGGCACGAAAAGTGTGATTTCAAAAATTGGATTTGCCCAATACCTTAGTAAACAATTTTGAGATACTACATTATTCCAAAAAACAATATTTTTCTAGCAAAAAAACTAAGCAGTCGCCGCTTCTGCAGGCACAATTCTCGGAATTCATTGTGTCCATTTTCAGAAAATTTCCAAAAGTTTCCAAAAAACGTCAAAATTCTAATAAACGGTCAGAAGACATTCCAAAATCTTTAAATTTTTCAGCAAAAGCAGATTGAGATTGCTTAAGCAGAGAAAATTCCCAAAACCGGGTTTCTCAACTGGCCACAATCTGAGAATTGACACGGTAGTTTTCGTGTAAATTCAAAAAGCTTCCAAAAAACTGTCAAAGCTTCAAAACTTTGTCTTTTTTTGGAGGTCATACTTCTTTTTTTCAACAATCTGGTCATATCAAATTATAAAGATAAGCTTTCAACAACCTGTTGTTTCGATTGAACCTATGATATCAGATTTGACAGGATAGTGAGAAAAGTCCAAAAACTGTCAATCAACAATTCAAAAATTTGACATTTCCGAGAATCAAAGAAAATCAAAGCTTTTTCTGTAGAGAATTACGGCATAACCACTTATGCAGAAAGAATTAACGCAACCTGTAATTTCGATTGAACCCAAAATTTCAGATTTGTAAGGGTAGTTCTCGAGAAAAGTCAAAAACTTCAAAAAAAAAACGGTTAAAAAATCAAAATTGTTCCGATGGCCATTATTTTTCGTGTCAAAAAAATTTGGGCGTAATCGCATAAACAAATGAGCTCTAAACAACCCGCACTTTGAATTGAACCCAAAATCTTAGATATGATAGGGTAGTTTCCAAGAATATTCAAAAAGTAAATAAAAAAAAACACCAAAAAAAACAAAAATTTGGCTGTTGCGAGGGCGATTACTTTTTGTGTAAAATTTTTTGTGAGAGGCCACTTATGCAGGAGAGCTTCCCACTACCAGTTATCATCTTTCATGGCTTAAATAAAAGACTATCGCCGACTATAAGCCTGCTCGCTCGCTCTATTTGCTCGAACTTAGACTAAAAATTAAAAATTCAAACCGGTGTTAGTTACTCGACACATTTTGAAAACAGCACAGGAACTCTATAATTAGCAAAATACATCAGCCTGTATAAAAAATTAGTTGAAAAATCGTTTCATAATTTGTGCTTATTTTAAACTTTTGTTCTAAAGTACAAATGACTATAAATACAAAAGTACAAATGACTAAAACTATGTCAAAGCACTTAGATGAAGAGCACTTTCTTCGTTTCAGACGCCGACTGCAATATGATAAATGAGACAGAATTGCTGGATGAGTACACACGCACTCTCTTTGTAAGTAGAGATGGAGGGGTCCCCTTCGAGGTAGTGGACGAGGACACAGAGCAGAGATACACGACCTCCAACACAATCAACACCCAACTGTCACAGGTCAACAAGTATAACTTGTCGGAGGGGTTGCGTAGTCAGCAAATAGACTTTTCCGAAAAAAACTACTGCTTGATTGAATTTGATCAAATTTGCGCGCTGATGGCTGAGAAGATCCCGCTTTATTTTCATCGACGGAACTTTTATACAAAAAAACTTCGAGAAATATTGTCAAAAATTTTATGAGGTGAAATGGAAAATTTCTCAAGTTACGTTATTTTAGAAACTCTATTAAGCCTCTCAACAATTTTGGCATGTTAACAAAAATTAGCAACTAGTGCAAAATAAAATTTTGATACGTTGAAGGAAATAGTGGGTTATTATCATATTTTGCTCGAGTTTTCATTTTCTCCTCTCTCTGACAATCCCGATTGGTTTCATTGGACAGGTGGTGACGCCAGTTTATATCTATGACTGCAGTCAGGAGACTAAGATGGATATCCTGTGGACGGAGGCACTGCAATCCGTGTTTGAGCAGAACAGAGACAGTTTCACAAAAATAGGCCACCAGTACTTGGGTGCTGCAACAGGAGTGCTCAGACTGTTCCCAGCCACAAGTAACTCGCATTATTCTCAATTTTCGATGTAGTTGTTTTGCTCGCGAGCAAAAATATTAACATCTCAAAAACAAAACTGAATTTGACCAGACAAAAATAAAGAGTAGAAGAACGAAATAAAATTGTTCTGAGAAACAAAGTACTTGCAATTAGCCGGGTAATATTTGTCCAAGTATTGTTTTTTTATAGCTCAGTCAGAAAGAAGCTTTTTCCAGTAGCGAACTTCAAAGCTTTAAAGGAAATCTTTCAAGCATAGCGACAGTTGTTCATAACCTCAACGAATTTAAACGCTGTTATACCCGAACACTCTCTATTAGAATGTTAATGCGTTTTTGATTGCTGCAACTTATGTTTTCCTTTCATTGCAGATTTTTCGATGAATCTTCCGTACGACCAGAGGATGCAGCCCTACTACACGCAGAGTGCCACTTTACCCAAACTGGTGGTGATAGCACTCGATTCCAGTGGCAGTGTCAATGGCGACGTCACTAGCCTCATGCAGAACACACTTGATACGATCATGGGTAAAACATTTAACAAAATCACAGCAAGGGTAGGATAGCCCATTGCTGCGCAAATACACTGAATGTTCCTACCATATTTTTAAAACTTCAAATCGTTTTTTTTTTTCATATTAGTATCGTTTTTTTTGTGGTGTGATGAAAGGGTCTATACGAAAAGCCTCAGACTTAAGCATATTCGATAGTTACAAAAATTAGACATATTGGAGGACAATTTTCTTCGGAAAAAGACCAGAAAAACAAAAGGCAATATAAAATTTATATATTTTTTTCGAATTTTGGAAGTTTTTTATTCCCAAGATGGCTCTCAAAGTTTCTTCGAAAACTAATTTTACTAGATTAAATTTAAGATTTAAAGTACTGAATAAAATTTTCACAGCTTATCCTTCTTTAATATGCCTACTCGATCGCCCGAAATTTCAGATAGATTTTTCTCGACCCGGAAAATTCTTTGAAAATTTTTCAGTCACTCGAATAACAACTCAAAGGGCTTTAATATGATATAACACTCGACCCTTTTTGATGATTATTACATCGTATAACTTAAGCATACTCGATGGTAATACTAAATTTGATTATTCGACAACAAATTTCCTTAAAAAAAAAGAATAGAAAAACCAAAAAAAAATTTTTGTTTCTATTATTTCTTGCAGCAAAATTTTTTGATTTTAAAAGAAGAAGGCGCTAAAAGAAACTTCGAAACCTAGTTTTACTAGTAATTCAAACTTTTCACGGTTTAACTTAAGAATAAGACTATTTAATGCCTCAATTAGATTCGGTATCTTAACCACTAGAACACTCCGCAAAAGTTAGTTCAACGGCTTCGAAATACCAGTTGAGTGGTTGTTACAATTCCACCTTCGTTTCGACACATTTTTCCTATAACTTCATGTGCTAGATCTACTTACTGACAGTGACATGGTGTCGGTGTTCTTCTTCAAGGACGACCACGTGTACCTGTTACCCATTGCAGAGGAACTCAACCAGCACTGTGGGGAAGGAGGAAGTGAGTCTGCCACTGATCAGCAGCAGACATGGTTCGTCCCCGCCACATACAAATTCAAACAGGCAAGTTTCAGTCTTCGGAAACACTAGATAAACAACTTGACGGTACTGAGGTCGTCGATGTTTTGCGACACCGCAACTCAAATTCAAATCTTTCTAGTGATACAAATTAGGATTGCTCACAGGCCGGATTCCAACGAACTAAATGACCCCAGAATCTCGGCCTAATCTATAACAATACGAATGCTTTTTCGAACTATTGTTATAAACCTGAAACTTCGAACTCATATCACTACTTAATTTAACTCAAAAATTCTAATAAGTCTTCGTGTAGAAAATTCTACAGTGCCTTTGCGTAGAAAAGTCACAAACCTTCCATTACTATAACTGAAAAATGCTTACATAGATTCAATTTCCAGGCGTTCAAGAATGCAGTGTACCGGCACGTCAACTTCAACGCAACTGCCGACTTCTCCATCTCCTTCGACGAGGCAGGCAAGATTTTCGACCAGGTGGGGGACATTGAATACTGCACTAAACTGGTCATCCTCATCTCGGATGGGGGCAAAGGGGCGGCCACTGAAGCCGGTGGCAGTCTCACTACACTCATGAAGGTTAATTAAGTTCAATTTATAAATTCCTAACTGAACATATACATCTTTTACACAGATGCGAAGAGTGTTCCAACGACAGTAATCTAAGCAATAAAAAAATCAGCAATATTGAAAAAAATAATAATATTATTTTGATTATTATAGGCGACGGGAGATTAACCAATTAGATATAACCTTCAACAAAAATTGAAAACAGACACTTGGTTTCTCCTTCAAAACTGAAAGTTCCTCACGTTTTTTCGCGCCATTTCTGCTTTCGTAATCATTGAGCATAATTTGCCTTCCATTCAGCAAATGAATTTAAATAGATATTCACAGGGGCCAAACGGAGCTTTGCAACACTTGCTGTACAATTAAAACATTGCATTACAAAAAACCATAAAACAAAAAAATTTGACCATTACAGCAGAAAAAAATACTGGAAAAAAGTAAAAAAAACTACTTCAACAAAAATTTCACGTCAGGCTTTAATATGATATATCACTCGATCCTGTCCGATTATTTTTTTGGTACCTGATTTTGCGTGGAAAACAAAAATTAATCGAAAAAACTAAAACAGAAGAATACAATTCAATGATCGGAACAAAAAATGGATCAGTAAGTAAAATTTTTATTTCTCTGGGAAACCTGAAAACTAAATTCCACTTTCGAAACTCGAAGTCTATCAAGCTTTTCGTGATCTTGACACTTTTGCTGTTCGATAGTGGAGTTTGACTTCCTTTTAAAAAGAAATCAATGTCAAACAAGCAAAAAGTAAATTTTACCGACCACAAATTCTGTGATTTTTCCTGAAAAAAAATTCTACTTCATCGACTCTTGAAAATCACTTCGCTCTTTTAAATTTAAAATTAAATAAAAATAACCCGACCGATATACGTGTGTACACTACTTTCAATGACGCTCAAAAACGTTAAAATGCAGTGGACTTAAAATAATATGCGCACACTGCCTCCCTCCTTACTGGACACCGAGAAGACCTTTGCCATGGCCGCTAAGTGGATTAAACTTTCACGGATAATTTATTTTTCAGATAGAAAAAATGCGCTTTAATAAAACCGGGGTTATTGCAAAAACAATAAAAATAATAACCGTACGTTGCACAAACGTATCACTAGAATTTGAGACTTGCATTTAAATAAAAGTGAACAGACCGTTAGACACTAAGTTCGCGAGGTGGCTTGTGTAAAAGTGAGAAGTATACAATTTTGAAACCAAATGATCCAAATTACCCTCTTTATGTATCAGATATTCTTTAAACAGCTTTCGGGACCTTGAAAAATGAACACGGAAAACAGATTAAAAACACATCTGAATCACGAAAAAGAGGAGCAATCCGAACCTCATAGCACAATTTTGGAAAGCGAGCAAACTTTTGGAAAGTAAACACAACAGAAAAATTTGCACTTTGCTTACGTAGTCGAAAAACCATGATCCGAAGATTCCAAATTGTGGTTTTAAAAGCACTGGAAAAAAGTTCCGTAAGGTAAAACTTCGGTTAGCAGCGTTTCGAACTCAAATTTCCTCAACCAATTAACTGCTTCAGGCCAATCCGGACATGCATCTGATCATCTTCCTGATAGGACCGGACGTGTTCGATACCAAGAACGATGACATGCCTGTGCTGGCGTGTGCGGCCAACGGCTTCTTCTATCGGGTGGCTCACGAGGCATCCATTCGATACACGATCGCACAGATGCTCATGTTCCTCTCTCGGCAACTTAGTCTAGGTCTGCCATTTTAATACTACAAAATCCTTTTTTTTGTATCTTTCAACACCTGCGCGGAATTTATTTTTCGGAGAATTTCTTAATTACCTGCCAACTTTCCGCTAAACGGTAGATTCAAGTTGTTTTTTCCATTGAAACTTTAAAAAATATTTAGAGATAATGTTGAAATTGATGATCTTTTTATTTGTAAGACCACTTTACATTTGATAAAGCATGTATACTAAAATACAGACAATATCACAAAAGGCATTCGCTTTATCTTAATTGCCCTCCACCAAAAATGCATCACTTAATACGTGGTATTTTCACCTAACTCTTTCAGGTCAATTCCGACTGCCCTCATGGTCGAGTCTACATATACAGCCATGGGTGTCAGACTTTAGTCCAGTGATCTCAGTCACATTCCCAGTGTACCGCTCCTTTGGCAACACAGACAATAACGAGTTCCTGGGAGTGGTAGGGGTCGACTTCGAACCACTCAAGATCCTAAAAGATATTGGTGAGCACAAGCAGGCATGCATGAGATACCAAAAGCTAATAACACTTTCAACGCAAAAGCAAACAAGATTCTAATGGTCGGATAGCTTGAACACTGGTACTTTTTTCGAGCATTAAATATCTAAACTTAAGTTATGCGTGTTGTTTAGGGGCAACTTGGTCCCAAGAGAACGGCAACATTCTCCTCGTGAACAACAAAGGAACGGTCGTTTTCGACCTAACAATTGGACAATTAGCAGACATATTCACGGCCAACAACGAAGTACTGGAGCTTTCACAGGTGAGCCTGATTGAGATGTGCACTGAGCTGGCAGAGAACACTTCTCAATTCGACACTCTAAATCAGAACGTGATTTTGGGCGATGACGAGGGACAAAGCCTCACAATTGATGCGGATTATGACAACTTACCAGGTGCGACAAAGACTTTTCCTGAAAATTAAATCGGCCAGGATGCGAAACATGAAAATAGCATGGTCAAAATAGCTTTGATGTAGCAAAACAGATCGCAGGCACAGTTTTTTCGCCTTGAAAGGCTTGTATCTTTAGGTTCACTGGCCACCCACAGGGTCCTATTTGGTAGTACTTTACGGCTTCCATGTTCGGCCGATCAACCCTTAAATTTTTTTAAAGTCATCGTCTGGTCATTTTATACACATTTTGAGTGGGAAACGCTCACCGAAACAACGAGATTTTTTGGTCAAAACCTTCCAAATTCCCGAAAACGGGGCTTTTGAACCGCTGCTTTTTTCAAAAATTTGGCGGCGGCGCAGAAATAGGGTAATTATAGGGATTTAGGAGAGCCAGGCATATCAATTTGTTCCCCCTCAACTTTTGAGAATCTTTTTGAAAATCTCCCCCTCGAGAAAATCCTATATCCGTCCCTGGCTTCAGGTCTGCAATACTTGCGAGCCATCGAAGAGGTGCGATACACATGGCAGAAGTTAGAAGCGAGTAACAACACTCAGGACTTCAATCTAGTGCAGAGACTAGTAGTGGGGTCAGGAGGTCAAGATCGATGGAGAATTGACGGCCAGCTGGGATCTGAGGTCAATGACACGGATGTTACTGAGTTTGAGAGGATTAAAACGAATGCCAAGAAGATGTTCGACCTCGACTTTGATCCCCAGATCTACAACGAGAGTAAGACTATGAGTGATTCTACCTAAAAAATCACAGTTGCGGTTACCTTGGTTGCTAAACGTTTTTGACAGCCCTGCCCACAAGTAGGGGTGCTTTAACGAAGATGATTCAGGTGCTTCAAACATACTTCGTTATTCAAACAACATTGAAATTAATAATAGTGAAACTATTACCATACAACACCTAAGCGTAAACGTTACATCGAGTTACGCAGAGGCAAAGCACAGCGATACAAAATGGAATAAATATGATTACGTGCAATTGAATCGTCAAATCAAAAATAAAAAAATTCCAAAAAACTTAGATCAATTACAAGCACCAATTAAAATTTTACGAAGATCATTCGGCTTGTCAGAAAACAGTCCATTCTGAGGCAACCAAGACGACAAAAATAAGCAAAGTCCCGACTGGAATCAAACATTTAGCCTTCGTCGTCTCAAGCAAGGTTGTTACCAGTGAGCCAAATACAGATGCTATGATACAGATCGTTATTATAGTAAAAGTGCAAGCACTCTCGCAGGTGTAATAAAAAAATTCAAAAAAAAATAGAAAAGGGGATTGAAGACGAAAATACAATTGCAGACGAAAATAGAAAGAATTTGAAAAATCATTTTAGAAGCTTTAAAGAAAGAGTCCTTTACTAGTTGATTTCGAACATTTGAATTTTTATTCAGTCATCAACCACAAAAATAACACCGGAAACATTTGGGAAATAAGAAATCAAGTAAACGAACTGATCGAAATAAAGTCGCCACCCAATCAGCTGAAAATGATTTTCTTAAACAAATTGTTAGCCTAAAATAAAAGTCAATATTCCGATTTGATAACGCTTGCAAATCACAAGCGTAAAAACATTATGACCAGGGACAGTAGAGAATCGCGGAAAATTTTCACGGTTTACTTGCAAAAAAACGCGGAGAAAACCACTCAAATTTGCGGCAAAAAACGCGGATCTAAGTAGAAAACGCGAAAAAATTGCAACTTCTAAAACTTGAAGTTAAATTTCTAAATCTGAAGTATAGGAAAGCAAGTTCTTCAAGCTGCTCAGGGTACATATTTTCCCGCTCTTCACTCTATAAAATTTTATCCAAGTCACATTGAAGTTACTTTTATTTACTTCAAAGTCACAGCTGTGTTACTATTTACTCAGCTGAGCAGTGGCTGAATTTCCTTTTTACAGAAAAACGCGTTCGAAACCTTTCTAGAAAAACGTGGTAAAAAACGCGGATTTAGATTTCAACCGAAAACGCGGAAAAATTGCAAAAAAAAAGCGCCGCGAAAACCTACCGTCCCTGATTATGACCTCTTGGAAGCACTTGCTACAGCCTCCAGTATTTCACATTTCTCGTGCGTGCAAAGAAAATTGTCATCTTTAATGTCTCATTTTCTGAGGCACTCGTTGATAATACTGCTAATTATAATTTTGCATTCATACCAAGGCTAGGGTAAGCTGTAAAGTAGGCCGAAGAGCCTCGTAGCGTATCTCTCCCTGTGATGTTTGATAATGCCGGTTTATGATCTTTTTTTATCGCGTAGAATTTAATTCTTCTTTGTCTTCAAGAGCGCATTCGCACTTCTTTCTTCAATTTTTTGATGTATGTATGAGCCAATGACGTAAATACGCGTACTTAATTAAGTATGTATCGGCTTTTAATTATCCATAAACAATTTTGTTCAAATAAAAGTATTTTTCAGGTGTTCACAACTTTCTGGGACTGGCATTTGCGTCTGAGATCTACTGTCCTGGATTGAACGTCGGAACCAATCGCTTCACAGGAGCTGAAATGCAAGAATTCCTCGATGGAGTCCTAAAACACGCGGACTTCCCGCTGGTCCCAGGCTGCATGAACAATCCTCGATACTGGCATCTCATATATGATCTACATTTTCTTTACGAGTACATTACGTAAGTTGATTACTTCACATCGCATACAAAAACACTACCATCATGCATGACGATATAATTGATTTCAGAGAGGAAGGAAGCTGGATCAAAAATGTAAGTTGGTTTAAGAAACAAAAAATAGTTAATCGTTCATTTGCTCCATGAGCTACCTAATGAATTATGAAACGAAGTACTCCCAAGACACTTTCATCAGTTGCAGTATTTTCAGGCTTTGCTTACAAGATAGTTCCTTCAAAATAAGCCACTCGATGTATTCCTACTGTACTTTAACAGGAGCCTGCACAGGCGACCTTCATCAAATTTCAGTCTGGTCTGTTTGCCTACAGAACCCACTTGGATCACAGTTCTAGTCTGGGTCTCCAGAGTACCTGGGAGACTCTTAGGAACAGCGAGGCATCAATCAACACCGCTACTATCTTTTCTGACCAAACACTGAAAGCACAGGTGCTGTACAGTACAAAACTGTTTCAGTGAAAGGCAGTTTTTCATGTAACTCGTGTTATTACCAGTCATCTTTTTACATTTTTGCAGGGTTCTTTTTGATATACATGTCTTGATTGGGTTCTCATAGATTGGTTTTCAAAAACAATTTTTGACAAAATTCAAGAGTACTAAAGTGTAGTTGACAAACCCACTGGAATAACTTTTAGTCCTCTAATGCTTCGTTTTTGAAAACACTCGCAGAGATGGACACATTGAGGTTAGATTTCATTATGACTTGCTGCTATGTTATGAATTTCTTGTTATTGTTCCGATTTATTGAAAATGGGGAGGAACTTTGTATTCGAGTGTTTTAGTTTTTTGTTTTCCACGCAAAATCAGGTACCACAAATAATCATCGGACAGGGCCGAAGGATATATCATACTAAAGCCCTTCTAGACTTCAAACGACATTTAAAAATTTTCAAAAACGTTTCCTAGTGTCCAGAAAAATTGGTTTGAAACTTATGATTTTTCGTCCATTTTCGGCAAGTAGTAGTAGTAAAAATACTTCAAGTACCCAAAATGAGTTACCAATTGCCCAATAAAGCAATCGAGTAACGTTTGTTTTTTATGAAAATTAGAAATTTAAACTAAAACTACTTGATTTTATTAAAAGGAAGCTTCATTCAACTTTTCTTTGGCAAAAAACTGAAAAATTTTGATGTATTTTTTGAAGACCATTGAATTCGTTTATGCCTAATTCACTTATTTTCTACGATTTTGTATAATTGTATCATCAAACGACGTAGAAAAATAGACCTCAACTTGAAAAAATATGTGGTCGGAACATAGTGCTACTTGCACAGCAACCGGCTATCCTTGTTTTATTTAAATTTTGTTTAGCTCCGAGTTGGTTTCAATTACGGCGACGAGAGAGATGTGACTGCTGCGTGCTACCGCAGCAGAAACACACACTGGGTCATCAACCCATTGACATACCAATTCCCAGTTCTGGTGACGCAACCTCTTCTCTCGACGACCAATGACGCTCAAGCGCCACTTGTTCCTTTTGCAGTAGCCGGTTTTATAGAGACCCAAGTACTCATAGAAACCGACCTCAAGAAATCGTTCCCGGATTGTTTCCAAGAAAACAACGCTCTTTGGTGCTATTTTATAGACGACGGGGGATTTATAGTTTTCAACTCTCAAGGCCACAAACTAGTTGAAGACTTGCAAACGATGTTTCCAGTTGGAATAAGTCTCTATTCGAAAGATCCCTGCCTCATGAATCAACTAGTTCGAGACGGCATTTTCAAACAATTCCGAACTAGCCATGAAACATGTACTTGCGACGTGGATCAGCTTTTATTCAGATCTGATTCCTCAAGTATTACTCATCTATTTCACGTGGCAATGTCAGCTTTCGCAAACATTATCAACATGATGCAGTTGGTGTCTCTATCAATGATTCGAAGTTCATTTTATGATATCATCCAATTGTTGTTTCATCCGAAAATCGTCGAAACTCTCGAATTAGGATTGAACAACGTCATTTTATGTGAACAAACGGTGATCAAATATACTTTCGGCGAAACTGAAGAAATCAATGAGAACATGACTATTTGCACTTCAACGTGCACATGCAATGAGGTAGAACCTTATTTCGCCAAAAGAATTGCAAACACTAATTTATTACTGGTTAGCGTCCGAAATAGTTTCGGACGTCTTTGCAAATCTTGCTCTGTGACTGAAAAACGGATTTCAGCAAGAGATGGAACCAAACTATTCGAAGAATATTCGCAGGACTCTCTTTCTGATAAAGATAATCCTGTTTCGGAATTCAAGGTCAACACTTGCAATTACTCTCCCCGGGTCCAGCAAAGTCAAACACGGGGCTGTGTTGAAACCTGGAGCCAGGAGCGATTACTTTTCACTGTGTGTGACTTTTGTACAGCAAAAATGATATCACCAGCTTTCATTCTGTGCATGATTATAAGCTCTCTTATAGGTAAAAAATCGTTTCTAAATCACGCATAAACATGGTGATGGATATTTATGATTAGCTGGGGTCTCTGACAATGAAATTACTATTTTTGAAGAAAAACTTTATTTTAGTAAGTATTACTAAATTTGCATAAAAATGAGGATAGATCTAATCTAATTAAGCACTATAACTTTAAATTATCTTTACAAATTCTATGCACTCAGCTGAAACTACACATGAATAATTGGTAACCAAATCGCTATTTCATGACCGTCGACTTCGTGTGTTTTGATTGCAACACGACTGTGATTACCTAGCACTGTCCCGGTTTGCGGGTGATTTCGTCTGCAATTATATCTCTGGCTAGTCAATTTGTATCATATCGGTTTCAAGCATACCAAATAGCTTATTTAGTTAGTACTGAGCCAGCCATTTGGATCTCTGCCGATTGATATCTGCCCTGAGAGTGAGAGAAATGAAGATTCCGAACACCTGAAAAACCTCCGAATAGTAAGTTGTTTTTGTTTTGAATTAGAAAAAAAAAAATGACACAGCCAAAATTGCACTTTGCAAAACAATGAACATAAAATCAAAACAATGAACAATCAAAACAATGAACATAATCAAAACAATGAACATAAAATACGAAAAACTTCATATTGTAAGTCATGAAAAATGATTGGATAAAAATTCAGTACATTCGACATTTGTTAAAATCAAACTCACGCAAAATTGGTGCTTAAAATAATTTTCGTAGCATATTCTAACCTCTCGTTCAGCTTGGAGCTTCAGCGGTGTGCGTATAAAAATATTTTTTTTCCGACTTTTCTGCTATTTTTTTGTTCGCGAGAGGAGATCAACAAACAAACGATAAGAATCGTGCAGACACGGATCTAGTTTTCGATGTGGCGTGGATTTTGGAAGTCGACCGAAATAAATTTAATTTTTCAAGCTCGTTGTTAAGTACTTAAGGGGAGCCTTAGGGCGATGGTCAAATGGTCGATCAAATTGAGGACAAAGACACAAGAAAACTACCTGTATGAGAAGAACAAACAGCACCACTCCAGCTATCGGCACCAAATTGTCCCTGATCCATGTCTCCATCTTGTTTACGCATCCCTTACTGTGCACATTGAAACTCAGAAGAGACGTCTTCCTGGCTCCGAAGCCACACTGTGTGTTAATGACGTCAGCAGAAGAGCCACTGCCCTTGCAGCAGGAAAACGGAACCCCACATGCCTCCGGGATAAGTTGGTCGCGCTCCGTTCCTGAACATTAAGTAAATAAAGCTTTTAACACAGAAGCACAGCTGCATTTCGCAAATATTAGCGGAAAGAAAAAACTTGTCTTGAAAGAAAAAACACAACAAATATATTTCGAGTTTATAGAGAAACAAGTAGAGCCGGTTGCAGTGCAAGCGGCACAGAATTTGCCGACCACAACGATTTGAGACAAAAAGGAAAAAAATATTTCACAATTTTTGCCCCAATTTCCTGTTAATTTTTAAGTGAAGATGACTGAGTTAGGTTAAAAAAAATAAAGGAAAGGGGGTAAAGCTTAAACAAAAAAAAGTAGCACAGCTAGTTTTGGGAGGCCAGCCTCTAATCAATTTTTCTCTGGACTAATTTGTATTGGAATCCGATTATTGATATCCCACTTGAGGCTTTCAAGCTTTCTTTGAGAAACTCGAAATTAAGAAAAACCGTACGCCGTAAAACCTTCCCAATTTTGAGAAGTAAATTTGACAAGAGAAACAATTACTGAGATAAATTAACTTGCACTTATTTAAATTAATTTGGAATGACAATATATTTACAAACTAGATAAATCGCCGCGCTCAGACCACTCTTGCTAATTTGACAAAACTTGCAAGGTTTCCAAACTTTCTAAAAGATAATTGCAGGATATAAACATCTTTTTTTAAGTGTAAAAGAACGAAATGATTTTCACTTGTATAGGTCATGATGAATTTTTTGCTTTTTTTCAGGAAAAGGCCTTAAATGGCTCGAATAACTACAAATATTCAGCTACAAATTAATGCATTTATGAATGACCATAGGTATATATGCACGTTTTTAGTTAATTCAAGTTCATTGGCTAAAAGTTAGGTAAAAAGCACTCTCTGAATGCCAAAACGGAAATGGCGCAAAACTGCGATCGATTTCTAGCTTCTTAAGTTGAATTTAATTTTAAATCTCCCAGCGGAATAAAAAATTTACCCATTGATCCAGTTTTCTTTAATTTCAAAATCCACACTAGTCACACATTCACTACAAACCACCTCAATTAACTAAGCTGACACAGGCAAAGCAGAGCTTCGCTCGGCTGATAAAAAAAATCAAAACAAGTAAACCATTCTTCCGAAATCAAAAAATTTCGGAAGAAAATCAAATCAAGGTTTTCAAAAGGTTGTCTGCAGGCGCAAAAAAAGTCCACATAATCCATTATGTTTCCTATTTAAAAATCGGTAATTGGCTGACGGGTAATTAAGTGTTCAGTTGTTTTAAAATCGATTAAAAATTTTGGGAGGCGAAAGAACTAAGTTCGTTAAAATCGTTTAAAGGGGTGAAAGATGCATTTGATGAGTTTTGAATGAGATTTTCTTTTCCGGGACCATATATCTCAAGTAGTGTCGGGCGGATATTCCGAGGTTTAGGGTGGTGGTGATAAAAAAAGTTAAAGATTTGAAGGGACGTACGTTTTCAGTGTAAACTGAGCAGATAATAGTTGATGTTGAGCAACAATTTAAAATTTACACTTAGAATGTAAATGTTCTGGAGCACTCATTGTTGTACAATCCGTTATCGTGCTGAGAGCGGCGTTTTAAACTACTTGAAGTTTGCTCAAAAACGTTAAACTGGCGGCATGTAACATGCTGGGCATGCATAATCTTAAGTTGGTCTGACCAAAGCCTTGTAGGCTACCAGTAGCGTCTCTTTTGATTGGACCCAATTCGTCCCCGATAAGACCTTCAGGATCACTCCTGCTAGAGGCATTTGCTGATGTTCCCTTGCAGTGTTCTTGCGAAATTAAGGGACGTGTCAAAGAAGACACCGAGTACTTTGGAATGCTTTTCTAAAGAAAGGGGGTATTTTTCATTTTCACTGGGGGTTAGTTTTTAACTCCTTATTGCATGAGGAAAAAGGCTGGAGGAGCCTTTTGATGAGGAAAAAACAGATCTGGACGTAAAAAATTGGTTTAACTTTATTAAGTAGTTTAATAAAAACAGAGGAAGCTTCTTGAAAGTTCCTCGCCTCAACGAAGGGGTGAACGTCGTCTGCTTACGATTGTAATCTAACTTTGGGAATGATAATGGCGCATCAAGAACGTAGGATATAAACAAAGTTGGTGAAAGGACTGTCTGGTGGGACACCTGTGCGAACAATCCTGGATGTTGACAGAGCCTCCCTAAAAATGTCTTCGCTTGAAGACCACTCAAATAATTTGATAACTATCTGGTTAAGCTTACCGGTACGCAGTTGTCATGAAGCAGATCCAAGAGAGTCCAATGACAGACCGTAACAAAAGCTTTAGATAAATCGAGCGTGGACAAAACTGTTTTAGTGGGTGGCCTTTGTTGTTTGAAACCCTCGCTGATAAAAAAAATTCGAGGATTGATAATGCCGTAGTGGCTAAGTGCATCGGTCGAAAGCCATGGTGGTCGGCTTTGGGTAGGCGCTTAGCTAGTTGGGCGAATTAAAGACTCTAAAATTTTGACAGCTGGGCATTAAAACGATACTGGGCGGTAGGATTCTGGCAACTTGAGTTCTTTATTTTGTTAAGGGAGGGGTACCACCTTTGAATTTTTCCATATTTGAGTTATGATGTTAAGAGATGGAGAGCAGTTGAAAATTTGCGTTTCAAAAGTAATAGCTACCGGGCCAATATGATTTAGAAGAACCGTACATAGACCTTCTGGTCCTAGGGTTTTTGATGGTTTCATCAGTTTAATGCAATTTTCCACTTCGAGCGGTATAAAACTTAAAGAACCCGGCTGCTATCTTTGTTTACTTCTGGCAATCGACAAAATTAATGTTGTTTTTTGAAAACATTCACATTTTTGTACCTATACACTTTTGCAATTTGAAAGTGGAGTTTGCTTTCCTTCGAATGTTTTTAATTTCAGGAAAACTTAAGTCAAACGACGAAAAATCAACTTCGAGCGTGAAAATTGTTTAAGGAATTTTCATTAGAAGCAAAAAAAAACAAAACAGACAGTTGGAAAAGAATCAATGAGCGCAAACAGAAAAAAAGTTTTTTGAGAAAATTTCCTTTTTCGAACTTCGAAGATAAAATTAGATTCCATTAATGCTTTTTGAATTTTTAGAAAAATTTATGACTCAGTTTTTTGATAAAATTAACCCAATTGAAAAAAAACTGGATCAATAAATAGAGTTTTTAATCTATTGGGAAATCTGAAAATTAAAATTCATTCCCGAAACTGAAAATCCACGATGTTTTTCCTGACCTTTATATTTTCGCTGTCAAATCAGATTTAAGAATGCTGCCTGTTAGCGATTGAACCCAGAATAATTGCTCTTTTGAAGAGGCACAACATTCATCGACTCTTAATAAATGGCAATAGAAAAAAGCGGAAATACAACCCACAGAAACTAGGACCATAAACCACGAGTCCTGAACAAGAAATTGATTAAATTTTCAAGAAATTGAGCATGCCTGAGGTGAAAATTACCATTCCTACTAAGTTGCTACCCTTCATACTTAAAATTTATTTGCCTAATTTTTAATCACAATTACGATAACTACCAGCAGGGCTTCATTATGATATCAGACTGGATATATACGAACTTTTTGGATGCAGCCAAAATCGGCAGTAAAAAAGCAGACCTTACGTTATAGTTCGTTTCTATACGCAGTTACACGATACTTAAAAAAGCTTTATTCAAAGACTGAAAATTCTGTTAAAAAATGCATGTATCTCAATGCACACGCACACATACTTGGATAAAAAAAACACAAATCGAATATACAATTCAAAACAGAGCTTCAGTCGAAACCCTGGAAGCCAAAAAATCTGCGACAGTAAACAACAATTCAACATTCTTATTCTTTATACAATATTTTAACACAGGAGATGCGGAACTTCGTATCACTTGCATTACAATACAAACATGTCGAAAGAATGAAGAGTTGAAAAAATAGGTCATCCAAAAATTAAATTATTTATTGCGGTGAAAAAATAGGTCATCCAAAAATTAAATTATTTGCGGTAAAGATGCCAGAAATTTGAAAATTAAATAAGCAACAGAACAAAACAAAGCCGACAATCTTTAAGCAGACACAAGTTCAGTCGGAAAAAAATAATTTAATAACTTCTTTTTTAATTTCAAGTCCCCTGAAAATACATTAACAAAACGTGCACTTGCAACTTCGATGAAAATTGCTGACAGCAAAAGAAAAAATCCGTGATCAGACAATTAAGCCCACAGCCATTGAGCAGACACAAGTTGAGACGACAAAAAAAGATTTCATCAAAATTTTTCAAGTCCCCTCTGAAACTACATTGAACAATGGCACTTCCTGCTACAATGAAAATTGCTTATAGTAAAAGCTAATTTCGCGATGCAGCAACTAAGCCGACAAACCTTAAGCAGACAAACGAAACTCTGAATGTGAATGAACATTCAAAATATACCAGAACAAAATTGGTCTAGGAAAAAAGTTTGGAAAGGAAATATAGATTAAAATTGAGCAAAAAAAAACAATTGAAATTTTAAACTATTGTTCTTCAACCGACCTGATGCCTTCAAATTTAAAATCATAATAATCACGTTTGCCGGTAAGCCGATGCCAAATAATTTTATTAAACCGAAATCATTTTGGCCGAATAAAACTTCTACGCGTAAAAAAAACGAGAAATGTACCAGTCAGGGCTAGCAAATTTAAAAACTACAGGAGTTAATCAACGGCAGGAACTTAAAATTGTTTACAGTGCAGAAAAACAATCCGAAAACTGGCAACAAAGCCGACAAATCATGAGTCGGCAAACAATAGTTAGACTATTGAATCAAAAAAATTTCAATTTCATACACTAAAAAAACACGGTCCGGCCGGGACTCAAGCTTCAGACCATAGCGTGTAAAAGCAAGTTCATTACCCCCAGACTAAGTGGGAAGGGGCCTGTAAGTTGCTAAGGTAAATGTGCAAGAAAAATTGTTTACGGGAAAAAAGTCTAGTTCCCCATTACAAGACACTTGCTTTCGCAGGTGTAAAAACTAGATATACCATTTAAGCGAAATTAAATTGATCGTTCGCAAAGCAAAGAATGGTACCTAAACCGACGATAATTGAGACAAACACCAACGCGTCGAAAAAATGAAAGACCAGTCAAACTTCGTTATCGTATTAAGTCATTGTTTTTCCACTGGTTCTTGAGTTTCTTTTATTGTCATTTACGGTCCAAAAATTGAGTGTCATTTTTAAAGAAATGCCTATTTGTGTAGCTCAGCTCACCATTTGATGTAGTGGTGTAGCACCTGCTTGAAGCTAAAAAGCCATGAATGACAAAAAATCAAGCTCCGACCAAGACTAGGCCCCCTGACCTGTCGAGCTTCAAGCAGGTGCTACACCACTACATCAAATGGTGAGCTGAGCTACACAAATAGGCATTTCCTTAAAAATGACACTCAATTTTTGGACCGTAAATGACAATAAAAGAAACTCAAGAACCAGTGGAAAAACAATGACTTAATACGATAACGAAGTTTGAAAGAGAGCTGTTAAGAAGTACCTGTGCAGTTGAAATATATGTTGTTGTCCCAGTCGTTGGCACTCTCCCCGCCACAGCATTCCAGCTCACTCTGGATGCCATCTATGATATCTTGCAGGTCCGGATCTTCCCGGTACTCTTTGATGTTCTGCACTATCAATTTATTCGTGTTGTCCTTCACCCAGTCTCTATACGCATAGGCAAGCACGCCACACGTGATTTCGGCTAGCAGCACGATAAGTAGAATAGTTGAGAACAAAAGAAGAAAACAGTTGTTTTCTCTCAGCGAGCCTACGCAGCCCAAGAAGGCTACTATGAACACGACAAACCCAAGAACAATTAGGGCGAAGGAGGGATCGAAATGGACACTGCTCACGTTCTCCAAGTCCTGAATGAGACCTCGTTTCTCGATGAAAGCATACAGGCCAATGAATAGAATCAATCCTCCAAGCAGCCAAAATAGGACGTTGAACCCGAACAAAGAGTACTTCATGCAACATCCCACCTCCGTTTCTGATTCTCTACGTGACCGGCGGGGGGTCCTGCGTGAGGACGGTTGAGGAGGTCCATTGGGGGCTCTGCCGTGACCACGTGGTATCCGGGAGGGACCTTGAGCTGCGTAGTCGAAGTCTAGTTGCTGTCTAGTAGTGCTTCGACGCTGTGGTGCCATTGTACGTCAACTCAATGTATTATTTGCATATAAATCTTTCTCTGAAATTCTTTTCTGATCAAATAAATAACTCATTCCGTCGAATGGATTAACTAACTTTTTATCATACACCGCTAATTAAAGAAGAATTTGACTGATCTGGTGAGAGAACGCAATCTGCGAAAAAAAACGCTGAACTTTTTGATGCCATTCATTCGAATTATTTTCAAAAATTCTTCAAAACGCCCAAAAAATTCTGATTGGCTCAAATTTTTTGCAGAACAATCAACTTTCGACTACGCGGTAACCTTGTGCTGCAATGGCCGGATTCGCTTTTGAAATTCAAATTTGGCAAAATGAATGCCGCAAATCAGAAATGAAGCAGTGCTTGTAGGAACACACCAATTTCATCGCATTACCTATTCTCAAAATAACTTTTATTTGTTGAAAAAATATTTTGGGATTGTTATCTACACAACGTTCAATGAACAGAGTAAACATTAACATTGGATTGGAACAAAGCATATGAAAGTTCTATAATTAGATAAAAATAGTTTTTTTTGCAGACAAAATACATAAAACTAGCACAAATTTCGAATATATCTACTTTTTGCGTTTATTGCTGAGAAAGGTGAAATCATTGTAGGGGTTACTTCTGACTCGTTTCCGTTCCGATGTCTGTGAAGTTTGCGCCGTCAGTTGCAAGTTTGCCGCGTGTGGATTGAACCTCTCGTTGTGGACCAACTCGGAAATTAGCGCCATTTTCTTCGAGTATATCTTCAGTTCTATCTTGTTACTGTCCTTGCATATGTTCACATTTGAAGGCTGGCTTAGCGAGTCAGGCGCTCCAAGATGACACAGTGGCGAAAACATGTTTTGTGACATTTCTTGCAATATTGCTTGTAAATCAGGGATATGAGATTGCCCTTGGTTAGCTGAGGGCTCGCAACAGTCGAAGACGTTTGGGGAGGCCAAAGCCGAAGAATTGGTAGACTTCATATCCTCATTTTGCGGTTTGGTATCCGTCAAGAATTCAGATGTTATGTACACAACCCGTCTTCGCACTTCAAATGAAAATGCGGACAACACAGGCAAAAATTTTTCTGCCCATGAAATGTGAAGCACCGGTGTTGAGCTGCCCTCCTCCCAAAGACAGACTCCATCTATGAACTGAATTATGTAGCAAAGAGAAAGGGGATCCTCGCATACCAAGTGATCTGGTTTATCAGGCTGCAAGGGACGCTTCACTACAGCAGGTATATGCACTGTAGCAATGTCGAAAAACTCTCGATAAATTTCTTCCTCCTCCTTGTCATAATTGTACCTTCCAATCACAGTTGCCGCTCTCGCCCAATTTGCTAGCGACTCTCTTGGCTTTTCTTTCCTTAAGCAATGTTTTCCGAGATGGATATAGGGATAGACGAAGGAATCAGAATAGTATACGACAGAGGAACGTATTGCACGTTGATATAGTTCCAGGGGCGAAGTATCTGAGCTCTCGTAGGGCTGAATGTCTTCTAAATCACCCAAAAGAGCAATACAAGTGGGATAATTATCAAGGAGACCTTCATAGTACATATGCCATAGAAGCTTTTGCTGAATAAATGCTACTATACTACTGTCAGTTTTATCATTCCCAAGCCCCATGTTCATACTCATTGAGGCAATACAAGCAGCTACTTCGCTCGCACGGTCACATTTGATTGCGTTTTTGCCTCCAAGATACAGCCACCGTTTTCTGGCAACCACATCCGTAATAGGATCGCCTCTTTTGTCTTCAACTGCCTTTCCATGCCAGGTAACCTCTGAAGACTCCTTTTGGTTCTCGCCAAAAGTGACCCACGCGTGATCTTCGCTCAGAGCAAGGTGCACGTCATTCAATCCCAGTAACTGTGCGGCCGCTACTACACAAACAGCAACTCCGAACGAATCTAGCCTCCATGTGGTTAAAAACGAGAAGAGAGACTGTTGGTGAGAGCGGTCTTTTTGGTATGATTTCTGCAGCCTCACCCAAATTGCGTCGCTCACTGATTTCAGTAGCTCTTTGCTACAAAACTTTTTTACTGCAGGAACTATATTTGATTTTGATTTAACAACTAACTTTGGGTTCGGAACAAGGTTATTATTTGCTGAGTCTGCTTCGTTGAGATCACCTGAATAATCCCCAATCAGACTTTCCAAATCAGACGTTTTTTCGCTCTCTGTGCGAACAGTATTGTAGCGTTTCGATTGCACATTCAAATTTCCCGCTGATGATAAGGCAGGTAAACGGTCAAAATGTTCCGAAAGATCAACAAAGGACAAAATTACATTTTGAAACTGACTGTAGAAGGATAGAACTACATCTAATTCAACGGGAGGGAACTCATAAGCTGGCTTAAATTTCAAATGTCTCTGATCGGAGCTTTCGGAAAGTATCACTGGTTTACACTCATCCTGCTCTACTGTCAAAGAATGCTCAACAATCCCAAGTACGATGCTCAAAAGAGCTATATTAGCCTCCTCTTGGATTCTCCAACTGTGATTCTTCCTTTTCGACGAGAGGCTGCACTTGTCATGGCTCAGTCCGAGTATGAAATTTGTTACAAAATGAAACAAATCATCCGTGTTGCAAATAGGGAAATAGTTGCAGATCTCACGAGGGATGCTGTTGTTCATTGCATCCATGTTATTACATGGTAGAAAAGATCAATCTTATCTGAAAAGAATAGTCTTCAAGTTTCTCAATGTATTGTAAAGAGGAGAAGACGAGCTCTGCAACACTCGCTAGTGTCCAGAAATTAGTAGCTCAGAAATATCCGTTTAAAACATCTTTGCGAGGAAACTAAAAACTCGCAACAAAATATATCTTTCTTTTGTTTTCGTTTGAACTTTCAAATCGGAGCGATGGTAAGGATTTGAAACTAGTTTGTTGATCATTGATGATCTTAAAACGGTAACCGGGTAAACTTATGGTACCGCCATTTTTGAAAAATCTCATCCAAAATCATGTATACAAGTGTGCTCCCGCCAGACCACTTGAAATATACTTGAAGTACTCCAAACGGATGAGAACAAAAAGAAAATATGTGAAAATTTCCTCGAGATTTGCAACTAATTTTCTTTAGAATAAAAATGAAAAATATCAATTCAACGACTTAACTTAGAAACGACCTTAAAAACTTTTCTGTCTGACTTTTATATGGGATCATAGGTAGTTTTTCGGGTACCCTAACAACTATGTCAAAACGTACTAAAAGAACTGACACTTGGAATAACAAAAAGAGTAAACTAGTTCAATTCAGTTCAGTTGTTATTTTTCTAATCTTTTAGGCGTTTTGTCGCCTATCGATCAGCTCATGATGTACTCCTTTTCGATTAATTAGTCTCAAAATTTTTAATTCCGCTGTTCTTCCAATATTTGTCCAGGTTGTTCTTGAAAGCGTTCAAGGTCTTCTAGTCAATTACTTCTCTGGCAGCATATTCAATCTGTAGCTGATCTAATGGTGAAAAAAGTTTTTCCGCAATTCGAAGTTAGCCTTCTTCGTTACCGCTTTCTTTTCTTTTGTCCTTGTGTCACAATTAAGCAATTCGAATATGCCTTTTGTAGCTTTTGGGTCATAACGGTTGGAACCTATTTTGAACAATTCGATCATGTTCCTCGCTTTCTGCGGTAACCAAGTGACGTTAGGTCTACTTTCCTTAACCTTTCATTGTAGCTTAGTGTTTACAGCCCTTGTACCATTCGTGTCGCTCGTCGTTGCACATTTTCGATTAATCTTGTGTTCTTCTTTAACCGCGGGTACCAGGCTTGATTACAGAACTCCAAACGAGGCCTTATGAGGCCTTTATAAACGTTTAAAATCACAGGTATTGTCATTTCAATGACTGTTTTCTCAAAAACTTCAATGAAAACTTCCTTTGACTCTCATATTTTTTACAATGAGAGTTTATGTGACATTCGACCAGAATGTATCAAAATGCAGTTCGAATTCAAATTTTTATGAGAGCAGCTGAACAAGAAAATTGGCGGTTTTAGTGCATGAACGGTATTAATTGTTCAGTTTGACGAAATGAGAATGGTTAATTCGGTGTGAAATATTAATTTTTAAACTTTTGAATTGCGCGTGAAAGACACGTCACAGTCTCAAGCAGGCATTTCGGGTTCGGGTTCGGGTTTTCGGGTATCGGGTCGGCTTTTCGGGTTTTGAGACAAATTTCGGGTTTCGGGTCGGGTTTCGGGTTCAACAAATTTTCGGGTTCGGGTTCGGGTTCGGGTTCGGGTATTCAATTATGTCGGATTTCTAAAACCCGACTTTTGTTTGCTGTTTTCGGTTTCGACAAAAACTTTCCCAATTTTTCTTTTGTTTGAGGTTTTTTACTTTTTTAATTTTTATTTCTATTTCATTTCTGAACGCGATTGCATTGTACGATGAAGGAAGAGTGGCGGATATTTGAAACCAAAAATCCAAAGTTGAAAGACAAGTTTCTGTGCGGTTTCATTGACAAGAAGAAAACAGAAGCGCGGAAGTGCGTTCGTTGCAAAAGTGTATTTTCATGTAAAAAGAGCAATACGTCAGCTCTTGAAAGGCACATTAGCAGCTGCACTTCCACTGAGTCGGAAGATGTAAATCAAATTTCCATAAGAAAATTTCTGAACTCAAATACTGAAAAGTTTACTTTCCATTCCCAATTCGTATATCTTGACAATGTGTCAGTAACAAAAGTTAGCAGTTCCCCTCGCTTCAAGAAACTGTTTCAAAAGTCTGGCCTAGCTGTACCAACTTATGATGATCTCAATCGGACACTTAATGCCAAATACTTCGAGCGCATAGATCTCATTAAGAAATTACTAGAGGGGAAAGAGAAGTTAGTCTTGGCTCTAGACAAATGGACGAACAATCATCACGAAAAATTTATTGGTGTCTATGTGTATCAAAAAGGCAAGAGCATTTTTCTTGGATTAATTAATTACGATTTTTCATGTGGCGCAAAGGAGATGAAAAAATATACAAAAGAACTCCTTGCCAAGTTTGGCATCGCAAAAGAAAGACTCGCATGTGTGATGTCCGACTGTGGTTCGGACATGGTCAAGTTTTGCCGTATAATGAAGCTGGCTCATGTGCCTTGCCTGGCACATGTAATCAATCTGATTGTAAAAAAGTTGATAAATGCCAGTTTGATTCATGATGATGCTATTGAAACCGACAATGAAGTTGCTATTCAAACGGATGAAGAGATAGTGATTCAGAATGAAGATAGCAACAACGAGAACGACACCGACGAGGCCGATGAAGACTTTGACACATTGAATACCCGTAGCATCGAACCGTTTGATTTTTCCAATTTTGTGAATGAAATACGACAAGCTGTAAAAGACATCCGCACCCCCAACAATCATGCAACCTTCATGTTTATGCAAAAACAGTTCCAGAAATCAGAACTAGATGTTGTCCTTGACAACGAAACACGATGGAACTCCACTTATTTGATGCTAGAACGTTTTCTCAAACTTCGCGGGTCAGTGGAAAAGTTTTACCACAAACGACGTTTTGATTGGCAACATTTAGACTGTTTAGTTAAGGTGTTGAAACCATTTTACGAAGTAACACTAGAGCTGCAAAAGAAAAAAATACCGAAGGACTTTGACTTCTATCTCAAGACCGTCGAATATGTGCGAACATTTGTCGAACGTGAAAGTGGTTTGGAGATGGTCCGTGATGACATGTTACAACTACTTGACAAATGGTGTGGTTCCAAAAACGCAGTTGTCCAGGCGTTTAACAAACGCGGTAAATTATACAAGCGGTTGGCGAAAGAAATTGATGACAATATTGAAAACTTGCAACAGACCGAGCATACTTATGCAACGCCAACTTCTTTCAAGGACTTCTTACAACTTGAAAGGGCAGTTGGACCAAAAGAGGAACAAATACGAAGAACATTGAGACAAATTCCCGCAACAAATTCTGACATTGAGAGAGCGTTCAGTTACGCAAAGTACTTGAAGAAGGATATTCAATCGCGACTTAACACGGAGAATTTTACACGCAACGTGTTCTTGAAACTCGCCGAGGAATGCGTTTAATACGTACTTGTACGTTCCCATTTCATAATAATACAGCTTTATATTTCCGTTGAACTTTTTTGTTTTCTATATACATTCCCATTTTAATACACATTTATTGCATAAATATTGTTTTTACAGCTATTTTTATTGTTCACTGTAAGAGAAAGTTACACTCTAAAAACGCATCAAATTTATTGCGTCAACGTTCATACCATTTAATCTACCTGAAAATCGGGCATGTCGGGTATCGGGTCGGGTAATCGGGTTTTGAGATCTTTTTTGGGTTTCGGGCCGGGTTTCGGGTTTGAAATGAATGTCGGGTTCACGTTCGGGTTTGAAGAAACCGTCGGGTTCGGGTTCGGGTTTTAGCTTATCGGGTAATCGGGTTTCGGGTTTGAAAAATGTCGGGTCCCGAAATGCCTGGTCTCAAGACAACTCAAAACTGCTGTAACATTCGCCCGGAAGATACATATCGACGGAAAATAAAACTAAGTCCTAAGACGACTGGCCAACGTCTAAACAGAGCTTTACCTGCTTTTAACCGTCTCTTCCAAGCCAGTACTTTCGGTGGTCTTTCTAACATGGGGTCGACAAAAACGTTACTGCTTTCGGCTTCGGTCAAAACACTCAAATTAACTAGATTATATGCAGAAATAGTGAGCTCATGGTTGGGTCTCAGTATCTCCAGACCACGAGGTCACTCCTAAAATCAGGGCTTCTACTACTTATTGAATTATTATTGTTTTTGTTCAGTAGATAAAAATCATCATCTCCATCGAAGATGGATCAACCCTTTCCCCCAACTCCTAGCTTCTCATCCTAGCAATATGAATTCAGACGTTAATTAAATTCAACTCAGGACATGACAGGGAAGCTAAAAGTTTATACAAGTTAAAAAAAGTTCCATCCCGAGACCCCTCCGGATTCCTGAATCCGGGGAAATAAGGCTCTTAATCTCCTTCCGGAAGGCTGGTTTTCCAACCTTCACCGTTGTTCGCAACGGCTTGCAACTATTGTAGCGACACAATAGTTGCAACTCGGAACGGTCTCTGCTATTCCTGCAACCTGTTGTTGTTTCTCAATCACAATTTCCGTTGTTATCGCTATCGCAACTAATGTTGTTGTTTTTCCTCCAGTTTTCTGCCAAAATGGCCGTTTCTGACGTTTCGCAGAAATATGACGTCATACTTCGAATTTTCAAAATTTCAAAATACCAGAATATCTTGACCTTCACAGTTTGACTAATCGTCCCAATAACGTCGTTAATCGCTTAAAACCGTCAATTCGGAAGGTTCACTGTTAAAAAACTCGAATATGTTGAATCTGCATTTTGGTCCATTCTGGTCGAATGTCACATACTCCCCGGACAGTCCGGTCAATGTTCTCATTGAATCTCGCAATGTTCGTAAAATAGGTACAGTGTCATCGAACAGAATTTACAAAATTCACGAAATTACTTTTATCCACGTCATATCGACTCACTGCAGAATATAAATGGCATCATACTACGTCACTATAGCCTTCAAATTCTTTCATTAATCTGCACATTGAGGATATGACCTAAGATAAAAACATCTTTTCTGACTCCCAATGTCAGTATCCTGATTAAAAACTTTTTCTCCTAGATTTAAAAGGTGTTGGTTTG